TTAAATGAGAACAAATTCAAATTAAAAAAAAAAAGTAAAATATAACCATTGGATCTTTAAACGATGGTCTCACCATTAAAATTTTAGGTTTAAAAAAGAGTTTCCCTTGATTTGAGTTTTAAAAAAATGGTTTTTCTTCATTTGGTACGAGTATAAGTCTACCATTGTAGAAAAATTTTAGACTACCCAAATTAAAATTTGGGTACAAAAAAGGGTAAGAGTCGTAGATGCTCAGAGAAGAATAAGTGGTGTCGGATGACAAAAAACAATAGGTGAGTTCACACAATTTTTATATGAAAAAATTAAGGAAATATTATAAGTAGATTAATCTTAATGTACATACAAGTAATATGTGTCTAAAGACACGATCAACATAAAATTTAACCGTTCAAAAAATTTATCTTATTATATTAAATAGTATTTTTTTTCTCTTTCTTTAATTATATAATTTAAAATTATTTTTGAAATAATTCAATAAAATTGTCTTAAAATATATAACCTCAAAAAAAATTAACATATATACACTATTGTATATGAACATTATTTGTAATGAAAGTTGTATTGAATCACAAATTAATCAAAAATTAAATGATTCAGCTTGTGATAAAAAATGAGTAATGTGATAGAAATAGGCAAAACAAAAACAATATGTAGGGATAAAATTTAAATGTATAGCTTCCTTATTAAGAACTATGATCGTTCCGCTGGCATCTTGCATTACGCCCTCGTTTAACTGTCGCTCAAAGATGTAGTTGTAGATGCGTCAATCTTAGTGAGTCGTTGGCTCTACCTGTTATATCCTTCTACGATATGTTATTGTCACTATCATATTTCATATGTCATATAGTCATCTCTGTCTCTATTCAGGTCACACCTCTGAAAGAAACAAAGGACTTCATTCAGTGACCCTGCAATTTCCCTCTGAATGATCAAAACAAGGTAAAGCTTAATGATATATTTTGTACTTTATTAATTTCTCAGTTCCTCTAGTCAGGTGGGCTCCGACTGGTCTTTTGACCAGATCCTCCTAAAAACTGTACATGCGTGTCTCCCATCTTGGTGCTCACTCCATTCGAGGTAGCCCAATCTAACATTTATTTGCAAATCCTAAAGTGAAATTGAGACTACTTGACCTCGGAAGTTAATTCACGTGTAGGCAACCCTATCTGTCGTGCCGTTGACTTTATCTATTCATTGAATTTTCTTGAAACTTTTGTTTATATAGACTCGCTCCCTCTTTTTTCAAGAATTCATGCACTTCTTTTTATTCCATAGGGCCTTCTTTAATAAAGAAAAGCCTCCCATTTTCGTCAAATGTCCCCACCACCCCTGGGTTCTCCATCGTTCAGGTTCCCTTTCCTCCCTGTGCTATGTTTCCCTAGTGCAGGCCTACCACACTTTGCGCCTGCAGCATTTTCAAATGGAACAGTAAGCGTATTACACGTTTCATTATGTTGAGATGTGTGGGTGGTGATGATCACCTCGGGGTATGCGCTAGCGCCCTAGGCAGACACTCAAGAATCCGCTAACACTCGTAAAAACACGGGTAGGTCGGTCCTCTATTCATCTGACCAAAGGTGTGGATAACAAGTTACCTTCTCCCTTCTGCCCCTATGTTGTAGTAAGGTATGGCAATTTGTTTAAGTTGATCAACTTCCCCTTAGCCCGATGCTCATGAAACGCAACAAAATTTGTACCGTGCTGGGGGACCAAGTACGGCATAGCTAGTGGCATTAGCGACTTCGTGCTACACTGGAATGATCCAATATATGGTTCCACATGTTCCACCACTCCTCTGTTCATTTCCAACACTGTGTTTAAAAGAAAGGCAGAAATAGGAAAGAAATTATTCCCTGAGAGCTTGTCCAATACCACCACTATCAGAAATGTATCTCCTTCGCTCACGCAAGAGACTTCTATCCTAGCCGGCAATAGCGACTCCATTAAAAAAAAAAGCAAGAAACAAACACACATACACCCACCCCCACACATACTAATACACTAAAACACACACATATACACTAATACAACATCACACATACATACACACACACACACACTAATACACCAACACACACACTAATATACCCAAACACACACACTGATACACTAAAAATCCACACACACACACACAGAGTAATAGACCAAAAAACATATACTCACACATACACATACACACACTAATACATCAAAATACGCAGACACACACACTAATTACTTGATTCCCCAAAAGTACAGGCGATCAAGAAATAATAATACTCGGGAATTCTGAGGTCAAACCACAGGGATCAATTAAATCAAAAGAGTAGAAAAAGAAGAACAAATAAAATTTACTTTGAAGATTGAGATTGCTTTATAAAATGAAATAGAGAATTTAAAAGTGATTTATTAATTGGAAAAGTGACTATTTAGTTTTGGGATTTGCATCTATTCGTGATCATCAATTAAATATGTTTATGTAATTACAATTTTCTCAATTGATTTTCAATTTCAATGTAGTCAACTGGAAGATTTGGTCTTGAAAAAATAATAGGCGATTAATCTAAAAATAAGAATTTAAGAGCAAGTTTAATGAAACTCGCAGCGAATCATAAGTACTATTCATACCAAGAACTCAATCAAGTTAATGAATAGTCAAACAATTATACAGAGCATAAAACTTTATTAACTATCATTTAAATTAATCTAAACTTCCAAGGAAATATAACATTAAAGTATATGAAAAATAATTGCATAAAAATATAAATAATTAATTCACAATCTAATATCCATACCCTAACTAAAGAGTATAGAATAAACTACGCACTAGCCATAAAAATACTTGAAAGCAAAAATAAGAAAATAATAATGATCCCAGAATGCTCTCTCAAGAGATGAGAGCTCGTTATTTATAGAAAATAACCTAGGTTTAGGCCAAGGAACAATTCTCTAAAAATCTTGAACTTCGACATTGGGGTCACTGACTTTTAAAAAGGCACGTCCAGACAGTGTTGTCCACATTCAAACAGTGAAAAGTGACTTGAATTCTTATCTTCAGAGCGGCGTCCGAACAATGATACTTGCGTTCAGATGACTGGAGTACGTATCGTCAAATTTGTGTCCGAATAGTAATAATAGTGTTTGGACAACTAAAACTCTTTGGAATTGGCATTTTGATACTCGCGGAAGGACAATAAATGCTGCTTTTCGAACGGTCTTATTCCATCTTCGATTTTGACCTTGACTTTGATAAGTCAACAATTCTGAATTTAATGATTGCGTTCAAATAGTGCAAGTGGAGTCCGAACGGTACTACATTAGTACACCAACACACACAATATTAATACATTAAAACACACACACATACATGCTAGAATACACCGAATACACACTGATACACCAAAATATACACACTCACACACATTAATGCACCAAAATAAACAAAGACAAACTACTGTATTATGGAGTATTAGCGTGTTTGTGTGTGTGCATTTTAGTATATTAGTGTGTGTATGTGTGTTAGTGTATTAGTGCATTCATGTATGAGTGTAAATTTTATCAAATTTAATTTTTTACTCTAAAAAAAATTTTGAAAAAACGTTACCAAAATGAGGATTCTAGTGAAAAAATTAATATTTTGATGTGGGAATAATCCTTCCCTCAACTTATCTCTTTGACCCCTGCACTTTATTAAGAATTTTTTAAATAATATTTATATTAATTAAGCCTTGGAACTATTGAGTTTGATCCAATGTAGCCCTTTAGGGTCCGTTGAGCTTCACGTGGTTGTCAGTACAAGGTTAGTTGTATCCAATCGTTAAACATTCTAACTCATGAACTACTCAAAAATAAGAAATCTCGAGCCTGTTTGGTTTGTATCTCAAAAATCAGTATTCAAAAATAATTTTTGAGAAGAATTTTAAGAAAATATTTTTGAAAATTTTTAGATTACAAAACATGTTTGGTTATATATTTTTTAAAATAATTTTAAAAAACAAAAAAATATAAAATTTGTTTGGACAATAACCTACAAAATCCACAATTACCATTTCTATCTTTCTTTCCCCTTTGTTTGTCTTCACAAAATCCACAAACACGTGCGCGCGCACGCACACACACACACACATACACACACGCATACACATACAGACTCAAACCAAACACATATCTACACAGATTTGTGCTTCAGATTTACATAGATCTAAAGTTTAATTGTTACGAGAGAGAGAGAGGAGATGGAGATGGGGACAGAGACACTGGGCTTGACAACGATCTTCGGTGCTACTAAGGGGACAACAATCTTCGGTGGAGAAGAAGATGGAGACGCTGGGTTTGACAGCGATTTTCGGTGCTACTAAGGGGACAGCAATCTTCGGTGGAGAAGAAGATGAAAACGCTGGAGAGAGAGAGGAAGGAAAAAAAAAAAAAAAACAAGCCTTTAGCTCAAAGGGGACTCGAATGGCAAACCGCATTAAAAATCCATTTTTGTTCTCCATGTTTCCAACATTTTCAAAGAAAACTCAAAAAATAAGTGTAACTTGTTTTTCATTTTTTTGATCTAATTCTCATTTTTTTTCCCAAGAAGTTAAGAACAAAAATACTAAACAAACAAGTTTTAAATTTTTTGAAATTTTGAAAACTAAAAACAGCTTTTAAAAACTAAACCAAACACGCCCCTCACTTCTATGCAATCGTTGAACCTCGAGTCCTAAGCTTGAAGATTCTACAGGAATTGGTGTCTAAGCATCACCAATCTTCTACCCAAAAGCTGTAGATTCGGCGTTGAGGACCACATATGAGGTTTGCCCACAGGCTTTACCCGACGTCTTGGCCAATCCATAAGCCTTCCAATCTAATCCCCACGTCTTTCGTCTTGAGAAGCTTGGACAGCAGAGGAGAGAAACTAGTGGTGGTCGGCAGCAGCGGAGTTGCTAGCTATGGTAGGCAGTGGTAGTTGGGTTCGTGGTTGGAGAGAGAGAGAGAGAGAGAGATGAATACAGACTTGGGGCATGGGCATTATTTATGGGGAAGTTAAAACAATGTCATTTACAGATAAGTCTTACAACATAAGATAACTCTTACAACTCTTTCCATTGGGTAAAGATTGAGAACTGGTAAGTCATATCACCCAAAAGACCAGATATTTCAATCGAAGCCAATATTCCCCATCAAGTCTTTATGCCAAATTAACATACACAACAAACCAATCTGAAGCCTGAAGGAACATATCTGAAACTACCACGATTAGAGAGATACATTATGAAAGAAGGCTTTGAAGCATTCTTCACGAACCGAGAAGGATTGAGCAAGGAAGCCCTGATTACAAACTTTGGGCATTTCTCACTTCACAAAAGGAATCCCAGACCAAACACCTCGTGCATAATCCTCATATTGTGACCTGAAAAACTGTCTCAAGAAGTACTCTTCATATGGTATCCGGTCGGAGAAAAAGAGCCAAACAACCACCGTAAATGCAATTATAGATACCGGATTACAGATCATTATCTGAGTGCCAACTGACCAGATGAAGAAACCAAAATATCCTGGATGACGAATAAATCTATACACCCCCTGAGTAACCAATTTGTGATCCTCCTCGTGATAAATCTTGATAAGATGAGTGAAGGACCTGCCAGCAGTTAAAATTGCCAATTTCCGTATGATTTCCCCAAAAACAACCATTGCAAGGCCAAAGTTACTTATCCACCAGTATTCCTTCAACCCAGGGCAAAAATAAATTTCAAGCAAGTACTCTAGCAATGAGAAAATCATTGCCACGAGATAATTTTTGCTGATTAAAAGAGAATTAAGGGTTACTCTTGATCTCCCATGGATTGAGATTGCTAGAATGTATTCAGAAACATGAAAGAAGATTATTGAAAAAAACATTTGTGATAATTGTCTGCAAGCTGTGTAGGAGAAGATTTCTGTCATTTTCCCCAAATTACCCGAATGAATATGTTTCTGTAAGAAAAATCTAATAAGATCCAGAATATTGTGCTTTGATTGCAGGGAAATGGATGTAGGACTCTTAGTTTTGTTTCAGACCTGGAAAAGTTGCAAGCTATTCAAGACTAGCACTAAGAACTGAGCCTGCATGTCATCCCAAAGATGCTTTAACAATATTTCCTGCCAAATGGATATCTTTGCATTAGAGAGCAGAAAACTTTCAGCATATAGTTAGCATTAATATGGTACAAGATTTTGAAAAATTTCTGACATATAGAGCACCTTGGACATAAAATAAGTCTAGATGTACAAAAGATGTTGACGACCTTCTGAAGGAATGCAAGTTCTTTCAGCTTCATGCGATCACACCCCAGGTACTTCTATCTAATTGCTTTTCCATTTGAAGTCATTTTACATGAGCAGGATCAAGATAAATGCAATGAAAATTTTCACACAACTTTGAATTAAATATACAACATAGTGGACTTCAACAGAAAGCTTAGACTTAGTGGTGTTAAACGACCTGAGCTTGACAAGCCTGAGCCTTAGGGTGCTCAGGCTCAACCCGTAATTTAGGAGGGGTGTTTGAGTTCGACTTGGACTTGAATCTCGAGACTGAAATGTTGTTCACTCTCAGCTGGTTGTAGAACGAGCAATTCAGGCTCGTATGTCTAATTAATCCCTTTAACCAAATAGACCAATTACAGGAACATTAAACCAATTTTAAACTATCAAACAAACTACATAACAATCTATTCTCCAAACATCAGATTATTGGATACATACTATAGGAGCAATACAAAAACTGGGGCAGTGACGGAGTGATATGGGCGCGCGCGTGCACACACACACACACACACACACACATATATAATAGTAACAAAAAAAATTGAATCACTTGGAAGACAAAACAGGACAGAAAAGGGTAATTCAAGAATCACGACCCAGTTGGGCATTTTGTCAAACATGTGACATGCATCTAGCATAACTTTAACAGAAAACCAAAATAAATCAAGAGAAGGCCTCAAAATAAACAGAATAATTCACTACAACAAGATGAGTGAACACAATGTCTACTAAGAATATCTTCCAATAAAGGAAGAAGCTTCAATGTTTGTAACTATTTTGCAATCTTGTTTTCACAACGGAGACACGCAACATAGCTCGAGAAGAACAGATCTAGGGTCTCTTTCTTGAAGATTTATTTGTCAAGAAGGAGAGGCTGAGGGTCAAGGTCCTAGAGGATCAAAGAGAGAAGTTGTTTGTACAGGAACTGATCTGAGATATGAATCAGAGAGAGAACATACATACAAGGAGCTTTAGGTGGTGGTGTACCTGGGAAGTATGAGAGATGAGAGAGAGTTTATGGTTTGACATGTTGAAATGAGAAGAGAGACAGTGAGAAGGGTAAGATATGATAAAACCACGAGTTCTAGTCTCTAGATGCCTATTTCAGGTGAAATGCGTAAAAAACCGGAAGATGCAAAAACCCAAAATGTTCTAGGAAGGCAATAAAATGACCTCACAACCTCAGCTTGGGCTCGGCTCATATTTTAACGAGTCTAAAAAAATGTTCAGAATTGGCTTGTATTAACAAACAAGCAACTTGAACAAGCCTGAAACAAGACCGAATAGCTCAATTCGTTAATAGCCTAATTATACCCATGTTAGAGTTATCTTCTGTGAACCTAAGAATGAATAAGGAAGATGATCCTCGCAGAAATAAAGGAATAAGGACATAATCACTCAAACACTTTGGGAATGTATTCTATGGAAACAGACCTGGGACAGTTAAATCTTAAAAAATGGGTATAAGATCAACCTTATTTTGTTGTACAAACTGTTGGTCCAACTCAAATTCAAGGCCAAGAACCCCTACCTTGGCCGACCATGTGGTCATTTTACACATTAGTCATAATACAATCTTTCAACAAAACTGTTGGTCCAACTCAAATTCAAGGCCAAGAACCCCTACCTTGGCCGAACAAGTGGTCATTTTACACATTAGCCATAATACAATCTTTCTTACATGATATAACAGATCCAAATGGATAGCTTAAAATGGGTGTGCTAATTCTGAACTCTAATTCTAAAAAGAAAATCAGAAGATACAAGGGCGCTTTATGAAACATAATAGAAGCATAGCACTAAGTGCCAAATCATCGGGGCAAATTTATGACTACTATTATTGCGAATTTATCACACAGTTAACCATTCCTTAAAAGCTAATTGTTCTCACCTCGCTATGGATGGTCTCCCTCCATCATACCCTAGGTTTTTTTTCTCTTTTGGATAGGAGCTACCCCCATGGTTCCACAAAAAAGGGTGATACCGATCCCACTTGGCCGATCCTTATCCTGACTCGCCATCTTCTGGCCAGAACCAGATACTAATTCATGTTCCATGTGACCAACGAGTCTCACGCAACTTGACCGAGTTATTTGAAAGAGTCATCCCTAATGACTGCCATTAAATTTAACAATGTCATTCTGCGAAGCCACAATTTCTATATAAATCACCCAATACCGACGAAATTGTCTTAGAGCCCTAGAGGCGATGGTTGATACTGTGACGACTTTGAACCATGGCTATGGCGACCCCTCTCATGCTTATATTACACTTGCTAACCAAATCCTCCCTTCCCCACCCCAACCCAAAACAAAATAAAAAAACGAAAAAGGAGAAGAGAGAGAGAGAGAGAGAGAGAGAGAGAGAGGGAGAAGGGGAAAAAAAAGGTCTCATCTTCAACCATTAATCATGACCGTGTGAGCGAATCAATCACACCAGTAAAGATCACCTTAATAATCAACCCATCAACAAACTTATATTCCATTAATCAAGATAAATTATGGCTTCCACTCGAGAATACAATCCTATCTAATTCACAAAACTATCTCATGAGCAGAACACTAGGCCCCTAAACGGCATTGCAAAAAACTAACTGGAACGCCGCATTTTCCTGAAGGAAACAGAGAATAAAAATGAACGGTGGAGATTACCATACTTCTTCCATCATCTAGTTGTGCAAAGAGTCCTGAAGAAACCACGTGGCAATTCCATTGTAAGCCTCGTTAAGCTTCACATCACAGAGCTTAAATACCATGCTCTTGTCACAAGTAGGGTTCCAAACGCTTCCTGAAAACAGAAATTCTCTGATCACAGCTTCAAACAGGTTTTAAAAAAAAAAAAAAAAAAAAACTCCTCCTCATAAAAAAGTAACTGTTCATATAAAATGAGCTTTGATATGAATTACAGAAAACAGGTCCTCAATAGCTAACTACACTAAATACAAATGACAAAGAGAAAAAGAAAAAGAGTTCTATAGGTATAAACTAAAGAAAAACTATTAGAACAAAGTTAATATGTGAGGAGGAGCTACATACTCCTTCGACCAAATGGGCCAAATGAGATTAAGAAGTCCTATATCAACAAACATAGAAACCAATTCCTTTTTATCTGATTGCCTCAATTCAAAAAGCCCAAATACTAAAAACGAGAAAATTACCAGTGGAGGCTAAACTAAACAAATACATCTAATCAGCTTGGTAGCAGATCGAGAATATTCACAAGGTCAAGTCCTGCTTCATACTATTATATTTGTTGAATCAGCACAAGTGCATCAAGTTTACATGGTATTAACCTAGAGTTAATAATCAACAAGAAAAAAAAAAAAACTTCTCACTGCCTATGATTCTTACCTAGCATAAAAATAAAATCTTTTAAATGGAGATCCTCCATTTGTTTTATCCCACGTTGACTAGGAGGAAGAGGGAAGCGTTAATAAAGTTCCACGGTCAACATCTAGATGGTGTTTCTTTGTGGACCTCACTTTTCCACCCCATAAAAAACACTTGATGAGATTCAGGCATGGAAGTTAGGTGGGATGGAATGAAGAGAGAGCAAACAACAGGTTATGCAACAGCTAAGCTACATTTGACATGAACTTTTTCCACTGTTGCC